CCCTTATCTAAAGGACTCGTTATTGACTAGGTCAGAGTTCGACAGCGGCTTTTGAGAGCTACGATTGCTAATCGGATTTTGAAGTCATACTTGCAGGTATAGTTATTAGACTTATCCAAGTGGGAGACTGTTAGATTAGGTGTCTAAGCCCATAACTATAATTGGTATGTACTTGACCCGATAGTAGCATGGTCCTTTTGGGTTGCCTTCACCATAGCAATTTGATAGGATGAATTATAGAGAAAGAGGTTAATTGTGATTTATTAATATGTTATAAGAATAATATATTAATTGAGAAATCATATTATTTAATTAGTATTGATCAGAAATTAATTTGAAATTAATTTGGTGATCAAAAGAGAGTAATTGAATTAAGGGGACTGGTATTCCAATTATCTAATAGTTGCAAGTTGGGCTTGTGGATCCCTAAGAAGAGATGGACGAAATCATATGCATAGTCCACATAGATTTCGTCCATAAGAGGCCTTCTAGAAGGATCTACAGGATTTCTTAAGGCCTAAGCAGAGAATTAGGGTTTCAGTCAAATACCCTAATTGCACAACTATATAAAGACCCCATAACACCTTGAAATCGGCCACTTGCTTCCAAGAGAATACCCTAGCCGATTTTGAGCCTCCTAACCTCTCTCATATTCTTCCAACTTGCTACTTGGTGTTTGTGACTCACTAGAGGTGCAACAATTGAGGCACTAAGCTCTTGAAGGTCAGGATCTACAAGCTACAAGGAAAAGGTATTCTTCTAACTTTGTTTTATGTTATAAATTCTGAAAATTGTATGCTAGTTAGGGTTCATGCTTTGGATGATTTGATTTGCATGTATAACTTGATAAAAACCTAGATCCAAAGCATTAGGGTTGCATGTACACCATAAGAATGTTGTAGTGCTCAAAACCCATCAGTACAGTCCTGACTTCGCCTTCCCACGATCACCGATAAAACCTGAAAAACATAAAAAACTGGTTAAGCACAAAGCTTAGTGAGTTCCCCCAAAATACCCCATACAATAAACATACAAGCATGCATAACGGCCCACAATCATCATATTGGAATGCCCAGGCCTAATCATTCCTCGGACTGGAATGCCAACATGCAAAGGGTCCAATAAGCTATCGAGCTGGAATACCCAGGGTTTGTAGGCCTACCGCCTCAACCCAATGGCTCTTCTCGAGCCTCCGTGCCTAAGGCTTACAGTTGGCCCGCACCGGGTATCTTGGCCTACAACACAAAGTAGGAATGCCTCAACCCACTACCACCATATGTCGACATATAAACAATCAAGGATCAATTAGGCACATAATACAGACAAACATCAATCATACAACTCACTACCACCTACTAGTCCTCTCACAGCACATTGTCTCACTACCAGCTAACCTCCATGAAATGCGTAACGATAAGTAACCAGAGGTGAGATAGCCACTCGAACAGATGATCCTACTCTAGAGCCACAACCAAACAAGGAACATGAAAGAAAGCCTAGATCAAGAGTTCTCGGGCTATCCTACATGACTACATACAACCCCTAGGGCACTCCACTAGATGATAACCAATATATCACTACTACAACATCTTATATATAAGGATATATACATACATCTAACATGTCACTATAGCACAACAACATCCTATATATCAGGATACAGATCTAACAGATCACCACAACATAACAACATCCTATATACCATGATACATAACCTAGTGGTCGACATCGGTACCTTCGACCCACATGTACAGTGAGGAAAACTCATTTGAATCGAAGAACTCTGAAACACTATGATACGATCCCCTTTATGTACTACTTGCACCCGCGAATCCACTAACACTAGAACCATATAGAATCTTAATTAATATCCCAAAATCCTCAAGTTTGACCCTTGGTCAAAAAGTCAACAGTCGACGGAAGTCAACGAAAGTCAAAGTCCAAGTCTGTTGAGTATGCCCAACGTACTCAACATACGCGGCCTGATCCTACTCCTTCATTAAGCACTTTATACCTTAAGGTCTTTTGTCCAGAGCTCAAATCTTGACTCAAAACATCGACTTAAGTCATAAGTTTCCACCTTTATGACTTTCCATGGCTAGAAAAAGGTCAAAAAGCTAAAACCCTAACTTATTAATCCATTAAGAAATCACAACTATTGAATGGATGGGATAGAAGGACCAAGATCACATTTTTATGGTTCCTAATAGCTCCATAATGGATAAAGTTTCCAACTTTATCCATTAGGATGGTCCAAAAGCTCATAACAAGGTCAAAAAGTCAACGGTCGACAAAAGTCAACGAAAGTCAAAGTCCAAGGCAGTTGAGTATGCCCAACGTATGCGGCCTGATCCCACTCCTTCATTAAGCACTTTATCCCTTAAGGTCTTTTGTCCAGAGCTCAAATCTTGACTCAAAACATCGACTTAAGTCATAAAGTATCCACCTTTATGACTTTCCATGGCTAGAAAAGGTCCAAAAGCTAAAACCCTAACTTATTGATCCATTAAGACATCACAACTCTTGCATGGAAGGGATAGAAGGAACAAGATCATATTTTTATGATTCCTAATAGCTTCATAATGGATAAAGTTTCCAACTTTATCCATTAGGATGGTCCAAACAAACAAGATCTAGTCTTTAAGTCTCAAAGGGACAAAAAGTGCATCTTTCTCAACTTAATCCATTAAGTCCAAGTCTTCAACCTTCAAATTTGAATCAATATGATGATTAGATGGATAAAGTTTCCAACTTTATCCATAACAAAGTCACAAAACTTTCAAGATCTAAACTTTATGCACTAAAGTGACCAAAAGCTCATAATACTTAAAACTAGCTAGATCTAACAAATGCATCATCAAGATTCAAGCTTTATACCTCCAGAAGAAAGATCAAGGTGAACAAGGTCTGGATCTACAAGCTCCAATACAATCAACACTTCTCCAATGAGCTCCTTCTTCTCCAAGATGCACCAAGAACACTCCAAAGCACTCAAAAACTCAAGGATCTCAAAAATGGGGCTAGGGTTTCGAAATTAGGGCTAGAGAGGATGTAGGCTGAAGGTAATGGGGTTTGGAATGAGTTAAGGTCTTTAAAAAGGTTCCAAGACCCAAATATTAGGGTTTGTATCAGGCTTGCGTACGCCCAATGTACTCCTGGTACGCCCAGCGTACCAACTTGATCCTCCGTGACCAACCTTGCCTAGTACACCCAGCGTACACCCTGTACGCCTAACGTACTCGCCTTAACCCAAAACCTTCCTAACTTCTAACGGTCATAACTTCTTCGTACCAACTTCGTTTTCGACGGTCTTTATATCCATGGGAAGGTATTGAAGAGCCCCACAATACTATCTAGATATCTTGGACTAAAATCTTCTCGACCAAAAATCCATATTTCATGCAAGACCCCCGCCTATGACTTTCCCTTTTCTACCCTTTGGCCCAAAACACAATTCAAAGGTTAAGATCTCGCAGCCATCATTGCCTCCATCCGAAAGGCCTAAAGATTACCTCCTTAAGGCCCAAAGCCTTTACACAATCGACTTCCGGCCTACGACCCTGAAAGAAGAAATGACAAGAAACAGGATGTTACAATCACTTTCTTTAGTCTTTCTGCCAGGATCTTAGAAATTGTTTTGTAGAGGCACCTACTTAAACTAATGGGGCGAAAATCACATATCGTGATAGGATCTTGGATTTTGGAAGTGAGGGTGATAAACGATGCATTGCAACCCTTGTCAATGAATCCAGAAGCTTCAAAATGTTTCACTGCAAAATAGAAGTCGTTTCCATTCACCTCCCAATGTTTTTTAACAAAGCGAACGATTTTAACAAAGCGAACGAAAACCCGTCAGGTGTAGGGCCCTATCCGAACCACAAGCCTAGATCGTTGACTTAATTTCATCAAGTGTGAAAGGATCCTCAAGAGAGACAACCATATGATGGGGCAATTTCTTGAACATAGAACATATAAACTTACGTCTTAATCGAATCGGCTCAGAGAAGTGCTTAATTGCAATCTGCTTGATCATATTTGGATCATTGATCCAAAAACCATTTTCTTTGAGACTGTTTAGCCTCTGTGACCTGAGATGCTTGTTTATCATCCCATGGAGGAAACCACTATTCTCATCACCTTCTAAAGCCCATCGGACTTGGGATTTCTATATTCTTGATTCCTAAGTAAAGAATGTTGTATATATAATAGTTTTTGTGGAATAAACCCTTGAAAACAATGTTGTATATATATAATAGCTTTTGTGGAATAAACCCTTGAATATAATGATATGATGTGGTGAGTATACCTAGTTTAAAATGGTGTGGTTATTGCAGTGTTGTAGAAATCGGCATTGGCGGCCGATTAATAGGCGATTAATCGTTTGGCGGCCTCGAACCGATTACGATTAGGGTGCTTGCCGGAAATTGGTCAAAATCGGCCAAACTCGGGCTTGGCGTCCTTGGCGGTCATAGGCGGGAAATATTTAAAAAATTCAAAAAAAAAATAATTTTCAAATATTACACCAAAATTTTAAATTTTTAAATTTGTAAGCTTTCAAATTTTAAAATATTATACTAAAATTTTTAAATTTTCAAAAATTTTAAATTTAGAATTTCCAAATACTTCATTTTTTAGGAAATATTAATTTTTTAAATAATTTTATTAATAATTTAGGGTCCCCGATTAATCCCCATCGAGTCTGATTAATCGCTTATCGTCAGTCGACCGCCGAGCTACCGCCGACCGATTTTTACAACCTTGGGTTATTGTAACGAGTTTGACGCTTAAATTACAATATTTTTTATGTGGCCTAAACAAACAAATCTTGGTTGTTTTTAACAAGAGAAATTAAATGACATAATTTAATTTCTCTTTTAATAATTCACAAAAATAGCGTAATAACTTTATTACCTAAATAAGTGTTTGAAGAATGACTCGACACCATTGCTAACCGATTTCTTGATAAGAATACTCAATCATTACACATTTCCATTTGTGTACAGCTAGCTGCTGGCGGCCTGCTTATTTCCCAACAATTCGCCAGCCAATAAGCCACGTTTGTTGGTGCACATATGGAAATAGTAGCAAAGAGTATATAAAGATTTCTTGTTTAATTTTTCCACCAAATAAACTTTTCATACATCCATTCCTCAAATCTGTGCCTCAAAACCTCAAGTGGGTCTTCATATTTTGTAGGTGTCCTACTTCCACTACTTCCAATCCCCTTTTTCTATCAACTTTCTTGCTTATTCATCGATCATCTCTTACTCATCTCAATCAAAGTAGTTGTTTATTAAATTCATCTTTTCACCAATAAAATAGGAGAACGTTTCTCATTTGATGTCTATAGATCAGCATCTGGGTTTTTGCTAATTTGAATCCATCTTTCGCTTTCTCGGATCTCAACGGTGGTAGTTTTTGATTGAATTCATGAGAAAGTTTGCATTGACTTTATTGAACACATAACGATAGTGCTAGAAACAGTATGAAAAATCTTTTAAAGAAGCTACACATCAAGTCAAGTCAGTCATCAGATTCAAGCTCACGACGGTCTGTATCAATCGAAACCCATTCCGAATCTCAATCGGATGAACTCAATAAACCCCTATCTGGGATCACGGGGTGGCTTAATTCAGTAACAAATAAGCGAAGTTCAAGTCCTCGATCTTCTTCAAATTTGGAAACGATTCAAGGGTTTGACTCCGTTAGCAGTAGTCAGTTGGAAGCTGCGATGGATGAAGTGAGGGTTTGGGATTCAGGGTCTCGTAACTCTAGGGATCCAGAAGTAGAAGAAGAGTATCAACTTCAATTGGCTTTGGAGTTGAGTGCGAGGGAAGATCCAGAAGCTGCTCAGATCGAAGCTGTTAAGCAGATCAGTTTGGGTTCTTGTCCTCCAGAGAATACTCCAGCTGAAGTCTTGGCCTTTCGATATTGGGTAGGTTGAGTTCTTATTTCAGTTTGCTACTTTTGAATATATTTCTAATACACGATATAATTACGAACCCCAAGATTTTGTCATTTGCGCATTGCTTATCTCGATTCTTTAGTGATTGGATTTCATTATTAGGCTATGCAATTTCTCTACTTCTGTTTCGATTTCATTAGGCTATGCAAATTAATCAACCAACTAGTTACTTACTGGAAAGCCTCGTTTTCTTTGATTTTCTATGTCTTTCTTCATTAAGTCAAAGAGGAACATCCTTCTTTCTGCATTAAGTCAAAAATAAACACCTTCCTTTTTGCATTAAGTCAAAGATAAACACCCCATATATTACTTACCAAATCAAGTCTTCTAACACCTTACAATAAAAAGAAACAAGAAGTTTGTAAAAAGCCAGGACTTAATGGGACAACTTCATTTCTCTAACTTTCTATATTAAGTCATTCATGTTGCATTAAGTCTGAAAGATACAATTGATTCATATTTCTTACTAGTAAGCATGTTTTATAAAGAAAATATGCTTATTAGGTTCTAACTTTTCTCATGTCCTAGACTCATTCATACTTCACAGAATTACAGTGCTCTTAGCTATGATGACAAGATTCTTGATGGGTTCTATGATCTTTATGGAATCTTAACGGGGCCCACATCATCAAAGATGCCTTCCCTTGTGGATTTACAAAAAACACCCGTATCAGATAATCTTACATGGGAAGCCATTTTTGTCAATAAAGCTGCAGATTCCAAGCTTTTACAACTCGAACAAAAAGGCCTTGGACATGGCTGTTAAGTCAACATCTGGTCAAACTTTGGTGCAAAGACTTGCGGTTTTGGTTTCTGATCACATGGGGGGCCCAGTTGTGGACCCTGATAAGATGTTGATTGCTTGGAGTGATCTTAGTTCTACATTAAAGTCGACTCTTGGAAGTATGGTTTTGCCTCTTGGATCTTTGAAAATTGGAATGGCATGTCATCGAGCTTTGCTTTTTAAGGTATCTTTCTACATTTATAGCATCCTACTTTCAAGGTATCTTTCTTAATTGGGCATTATACTTTGAAAATTAATGGAATTTCTTGAATTTGACAATTTGAAGTGGTTATGATTCATTGGTTCTTTAGGGTCAAAAGAATCAGATCTTGAGAAGAATGTAAGAAGTTGTAGTAAGAAAACTCATTATTGAGACAAATGTTGAATTACATAACTATCCCTAGTTTTAAGCACCTTGATTAATTGATTATGTCATTTTGGTTCTTCAAGTCGCAATGATCACTTAAGAAAACAACTCTTAAGTGTTATAGCAACAAACAACTATTGGATAAGATGCCAAAAAAGTAACCTTGATGAATACCATGTGGTAATTATTGTTATTTGTATTTAAATAGGGTTATCATTTAGTTTCGAAATGTAGATTCAAGATAGATCTAACTTATATTGATTCTAAGCTTAAACCGGATGTTACAACTTACAACCATCAAGGAATTGACTATTTTAACCTTAGGGTGTATACCGAGCAAATTTGTAAAAAATTAGGACCTAATAAACCTTTCACTTGGTTGTAGAATCTTTTATTTCCACTTAATGATATATAATTTATATTCTTTTCAACTACCTTTCCCTTTGTAGGTTTTGGCTGATAGTGTAAGCATCCCATGTCGCCTAGTGAAAGGGAAACAATACACGGGCTCCAACAATGTTGCAATGAACTTTATAAAACTTGATGATGGAAGGTTTTGCTCTTAGCTTTAATGCATCTATTCATGTTGAAATTTACTTCAATCACATCAAGATTACTATTAAGCATTAACTAAAACAATGGTTTACACTTTACTTTACATGATCAATAGGGAATATATTGTTGATTTAATGGCGGACCCCGGAACCCTAATTCCATCTGACACAATAGGAGGAGGAGGAGGAGGATTAACTGTAGATTATGATGAATCTTTCTCATCAAGTCCATGGTCTCCAGACGATTTAGCTTCCTCAAGAAGTGGTGTCACTAGTTCATCCGGTGAATCATCCGTGGTGGTTGCCGCCACCACCAACTCGTTACCGGTGGTGGCAACCACCACTAAAGAGACCAAACGTGGTGAAGCTCCGACGATGACAAGGACACCTCATCATATACACGCAAGATCCACATCATGGACCGAAGGCATAAGCTCTCCATCTGTCCTCAAAATGAAAGTCAAAGACGTTTCACAATACATGATGGATGCTGCAAAAGAAAACCCTCAATTAGCTCAAAAACTACACGATGTTCTACGCGAAAGTGGCGTTGTTGCTCCACCTGATCTCTTCTATGAGGAAGAAGAATCAAGTGAAAGTCAATGTCAAAGTCAAGGTCAAGGTCAAGGGCATTTTGGTCATTTAAATAATTTACCTCACCCTCGATTCTTACCTCCATTACCGAAAGTTTCTGGCAAACCAGAGAACCAGAACGTTTCTTACATGAGAAACGTTCCGGTGGCGGCGGCGGCGGCTGCCGCCGCCGCATCGATGGTGGTTGCCGCCACGAGAAGTATAGCGGACCTGAAGATGCAACTTCCGGTGGCGGCGGCGGCAACCGTGACGGCGGCGGTTGTGGTGGCAACCACGACTGCTTCGGTTGCAATGCAGTGTGAAAATGAAAGTTTGAATTTTTTGGAGTCTCCAAGAAGAGATGGAGATGGAGAAAGTCAAGAAAATGAGAGAAGATCGGATAGGTCAACGGGTAATGAAAGTACAATGTCTGAGGTGTCACTTGATGAGGTGGCGGATTGTGAGATAGCATGGGAGGATATCACATTGGGTGAACGTATCGGATGGTACTTTTTTTTTTTTTTTTTTTAAATTTTTTATATGGTAGAATGCAATAAATGGCAATGTATTTTCTTTGATCTGTTTATTATAGCATCTTACTTTTGTTTTTTTTTCATGTTACAACATTGTGTTTTGAAAAATCTACCAATTGAGTAGATTTTTTGGAGTATAATGTCCTAATAAGAAAATGAATTTAAAGTACAAGGCTATAATTTTGTAGATTTTTCAAAGTAGAATGTTGTAACATGAAAAAAGAATGAAAATGTGTTGCTATTTCTTGCATTAAGCCCTAAGATTTACCACTTCCATGCATTCTACAATATAACAATTACAACATTTTTGTTTGATCTTTAATCAAATTAACTAACATGAATTGTCTATTTGGAGAAAGAACAATTTTTCGAAGAGAATTAATCATCTCTACCCTTATTAATGATTTTTGTGAGCAAAATACGATTGAAATTGTGCAAAATATATGTGATAGATATGATTGTGAGGATATATAGAAAAATCTTTTTGTTCCGAGTATGTAATTGGAAAAAAGAGAAACTATGGTGATGTTTTTTTATCGATTTTGTTCACTTTCTTATAAATTACTTTATCATATGCATTAATAAATAATTAAATATAAATAATATATATATATATATATATATATATATATATATATATATATCTTCTCTTTGTTGCAGGATCATATGGAGAAGTATACCGTGGTGATTGGCATGGAACTGTGAGTTCATATTCATTGTGATTAGAATATACTTTTATAGATATATCGAAAAGATACTGTTTCAAAAGAATATATATATAATATATATATATATATATATATATATATATATATATATATATATATAAATTTTTAAAACATGTGGACCCCACAAGTCTGCAAACATTCAGAAGTACAAAAGAACACTTTCAAAACCTGCAAAATACGATTGGTTTTATTGTTTTTATAAATTATAACCATTGGTTAATTGTTGTTAATCTTGATGATTTTATGTAAGAATATAGTTTTTTGATCTAAAAGATCTATATGTGACTTTTTTTTTTTTCTCATTGTATAATTTTTCAGGATGTTGCTGTTAAAAAGTTCCTAGATCAAGAAATAACTACAGAATCCCTTGAGGAATTCAGAAGTGAGGTATGTTTTTCTACAGACGTTGACACCTTTTGTTAAATGCTTATATATGCAACAATGTTTTCACCTTTTTACTAATTTATGCAACAATGTTTCACCTTTTTACCAATTTATGCAATAATGTTTCAATCTTTTACCAATTTATGCAACACTGTTTCACTTTTTTTACCAATTTATGCAACAATATTTCAACTCTTTACTAATTTACGCAACAATGTTTCACCTTTTTATCAATTTATGCAACAATGTTTCAATCTTTTACCAATTTATGCAACACTGTTTCACCTTTTTACTAATTTATACAACAATGTTTCACTTTTTTTTAACCAATTTAGGCAACAATGTTTCACTTTTTTTTACCAATTTATGCAACAATGTTTCACCTTTTTACTAATTTACACAACAATGTTTCACTTTTTTTACCAATTTAGGCAACAATCTTTCACTTTTTTTACAAATTTACACAACAATGTTTCACCTTTTTACTAATTTATGCAACAATCTTTCACTTTTTTGACCAATCTATGCAACAATGTTTCACCTTTTTACCAATTTATGCAACTAACACAAATCATGCAACCACATTGTTACACATAAACGTTGCATCTTTTCATCCTAGAATCACACATAGTCACACATTTGGTCTAAAAATCTCCTTTGTTGAATAAATTACTAAACTTTCTGAACATGGCTACATAAATAATCATTCAACCCTTTCTCTAAATATAGAATTAACATATTTCTTTAATTTATTGGATTACAAGGTCAGGATCATGAAAAGAGTTAGACATCCAAATGTTGTACTCTTCATGGGAGCTGTTACACGTGCACCACATCTTTCAATTATAACCGAATTTCTTCCAAGGTATGTCAATGTCACAAACCAAATTATATAAAAAAAAAGTTTATGTAACATTGTTTCTTTTTATTTGAATTAATAAAGTATGTTTATTTTTTTGCAGAGGTAGTTTATATAAGTTACTACACAGGCCTAATAATCAACTAGATGTTCGAAGGCGATTAAGAATGGCTCTTGATACTGTATGATGCTCTCTTTTAAGGGTTTTTTTGTATAAAAGTTTTGTCATGTTTAAAAAAGTATTTGAGAAAATGAGGATACACTTGTTGGGGAAATTGAAGGAAAAAACAAACGAGGGCAATTTGGTAAAAGGTTAGGACTTAATGGGGAAAGCTAAGTTTCCATTTTTCTCTATTAAGTAGTTCTTTCTGCATTAAGTCAAAAAGAAACACACCCATATAATATATATCTTTGGGTTAATCTCATAAAAGACCTTATATTTTATGTTTTTTCCGGATTAAACCTTAATTTTATTTTTTGCCTGAAAAAGAACTCGTATTTTTTCCGGAAATGCCCTCAACTTTGTATTATTTTCCGAAAAAAAATCCTCAAACTTCTAAATGCTTCCGAATAAACCCTCAACTTTTTTAGTTTTTCTCGAAAAAACCCTCAAAATTTACAATTTTTTTGGGGAAAAAAATGACTAAAAGGGCCAAATCGGAAAAATGAAAAAATACAAGGTGTTTTTCAGACAAAAAATAGATTTCAGGTTTAATCCCGAAAAAACACAAAATATAAGGTGGTCTTTTATGAGATTAAGGGGGTGTTTCTTTTTGATTTAATGGATTAAGCTCTTAATCTGGAAAGGGTGTACATGACTTTCTTTTTTATTTAATAAGCTGTACATGACCCTTCTCATGTTAAAATTGATGAATATTGTGAAATTTGAGTTTTGGGATGTAAGGGCAAAATGGTCATTTAGTCTCATTCAAACAGTTTATTCACTCCAGAAAAGAAACAAACCTTACGTATACAACACTTTACCCATACAAGAGGAAAAAATAATCAACCCCCAAATTATTCCCCTTTTAAGTCAAAAAGACATTAATACCCTTAGGTTTAAGCAACTGACAACCTCATTACCTTGTTAGAAGTCTCTATAATCACATTAAAAGTGCACATCCAAACACCCTTTATCGACCTCTATTCCACTTACAAATTTTGATTTTTTTTTTTTATGGTTTCATCCATCATATTAGTATTTTTTTTATATATCTTATTATTATTATGAAATTAAAATTTCAGGCTCGAGGTATGAATTATCTGCACAACTGCACACCTGTTATAGTTCACCGTGATTGGAAGTCTCCAAATCTTCTTGTTGATAAGAATTGGGTTGTAAAGGTAGTATTCCAACTTTATGACCATTGAAAAAGACATAAATGCCCTCCTCATGTGTATTGCTGCTGACATTTTAACCTTCAGGTTTGTGATTTTGGGTTGTCAAGAATGAAGAACAGCACGTTTCTTTCATCAAGGTCTACTGCAGGGACAGTATGTGTCATTTAATTATTTTTTATTTTTTTTAAAAGTTAGATTAATACTGTATGAATTTTCTTGACTATTCCATATTTACCCCTGTTTTTTTTCTTCAGGCAGAGTGGATGGCTCCAGAAGTCCTAAGAAATGAACCTTCTGATGAAAAGTTAGTATTTGACTTTTTTTTTTTTTTTTTCATATTTACTCATCTACTCATCTGTAAAGTAATTAGTGTTGTTTCTGTTTCTTTTTTACTTAATGAGGACATGACTTAATCAGATAAGCTATATATATACGAATGTTTCTTTTTGACTTAATTTAAAAAGAATGACTTAATAGAGAAAGTCAAGAAAACACGCCTTTCACCATTAAGTCCTAACTTTCATTCGGTTTTCCCAAGTATTGGCAATTTTTAAAGATCATTTATCCAGAGGAGAAAAAATTACAAAGCCTAATGAGAAGAAAAAAAAAAACGAATTTCAGATACGATAAAAAATAAGGCTAAATGCAAAAAACAACAATGTACCTTCATTTATTTTTGTGTTATAGCATATTACTTTCATTATACTTCCAATTTTCTCTTATCAAGGCATTATACTTTGAAAATCCACCAATTATTGCATTTTATTTTCAAATTTATAGCAGTGGACTTTTCTTTATATTAGGTAGATTTTTCAAAGTACAATGTTGTAATAAAAAGAAATCAATAAAAGTACATTGGTATATCTTGCATTTAAGAATTTAGAGTAAATTACACGAATGGTCCCTATGGTTTAGGGTAATTTGCGCGTTTGGTCCCTAACTTATTTTTTTAACTCGGAAGGTCCCTATTGTTTTTGTTACGCGCTTGGTCCTGTCTTACCTAAAAAAACTATTTTGCCCTTGATTTTTCAATTTATTTAAATAAACATACCCCCAACCCCACCCCACCCCCCTCACCTTACCTTACCTACCCCACCATTTTTCCATATTTAAATAATAGTCTTTTTTGGTAAGACAGTGACCAAACGCGTAACAAAAACAAACAATAGGGACTTTCCGAGTTAAAAAAATAAGTTAGGGACCAAACGCGCAAATTACCCCAAACCATAGGGACCATTCGTGTAATTTACTAAAGAATTTGAGTAAATTACACGAATGATCCCTATGGTTTGGGGTAATTTGCACATTTGGTCCCTAACTTATTTTTTTAACTCGGAAGGTCCCTACTGTTTGTTTCTGTTGCGCGTTTGGTCCCTGTCTTACCTAAAAGGACTATTTTGCCCTTGATTTTTTAATTTATTTAAATAAACACACTCTCAACCCTACTTCCACCTCACCTTACCTTACCTTACCTACCTCATTTTATTAAAATAAATTAAAAAATCAATGGCAAAATAGTCCTTTTAGGTAAGATAGGGACCAAGCGCGCAACAAAAACAAACAGTAGGGACTTTCCAAGTTAAAAAAATAAGTTAGGGACCAAACACGCAAATTACCCCAAACCATAGGGACCATTCATGTAATTTACTAAAGAATTTATGTTATGTTTGTTATGCAGGTGTGATGTATACAGCTTTGGTGTTGTTTTATGGGAGCTTTGCACAATGCAACAACCATGGAGTGGAATGAATCCAATGCAAGTTGTTGGTGCAGTTGGTTTTCAACATAGGCGTCTTGATATTCCTGATGACATGGACCCTGTCATTGCTGACATCATCACTAGATGTTGGCACACGTAAGTTTTTTTTTTATTTTACTTTTTTTTTTCTTTGAACATCTTTCTTATGAATCTAGTCTTGTTTATATTTTTGTATCCAAACAAATTGCAGAAAATCACTTGTACCTTCATCATCTTATCAATTTAGTCACTTAACTAAACCATTGTACTTCTTTTGACCATTTAAAAAACCATTTTCACGTTTCCCAAAATCTTGATATCGGGATAAAATACGAAAAAAAAAAAAAAAAAAAAAAAAAAAAAAAAAAAAAAAACTACTTTTTATCATTTTATTGATTTAGCCACTCAACTATTATTACAACAATCATGAAAAAGTAATAGTTAAGTGGCTAAATCGATAAAACAATGAAAGTGTGTAGTGTTTTTCTGTATTTTGGTCTTTTCTAAAGTGGGGTAATGGTAAATGGTTTTTTATGGATAAAAAATATATAGGCTTATATTAAAAATAGTTAAAAGTATCTAAATCAATTAAATTATGAAGTTACGTTATGCTTTTGACCTTTCTCGAAACTTGGTAAATGTGAAAAGTTATTTTTTTGGTCATACTATAAAAAAATATAGTTGAGTGGCTAAATGGATAAAGTGCTAAAAGTATGTTATGCTTTTTAGTATTTCGGCATTTTAGAGGAGTATATGTGCATGTTAGTGCTATAATAAAAGATATGACATATTCCTTTTTTGTTACAGAGATCCAAGACAACGACCTACTTTTGCCAACATCATGGCTGCCTTGAAGCCACTTCAGAAGCCGAATACAAGTTCTAAAACACCGAAAGACTAGTCGAATTGGATTGCATACAATCTTAGAATAATGAATTTGTGCAAGTTATTTGTTCGGTACACATTGTGAGAAATATGTCACATCATTGTTAAAAAATGGCAATGAACACACAAGTTTTAAAGAATTTTGATTTTTTTTCTTCCGATATGGTCATTTTCATGTTTTTTAAGGTTGTTCATGTGACCATCTCAATTTCATCTTTTGTAAATTCGTGTTGTATCGAGGTCATAGTTACTTGTTTATAAACAATCATGTTGTGTGTTGGAATCTAGCATTCAAGAAACCAATGATTTTGTCAAGATATTTTTGTCTTACAATCATATACTCATGTGTATGTTAAGGTTGTGTTTGCACTAGACTGGATTAGTAAGTTTTCTAGAGATGTTTTCAATGACTAGGATGAGATGGGTATTGTCACACCCCCAAACCAGACGGCGGAAACGTCCGGGGGTGGAGGACTTCATTTATAGTATCACAACACATGTATAATAGTAATCAAAGTACAAACAACCATTGTATTAAAAAGTATAAATATTTACATGAGTTTCACGAATGTATACCGTAACTAAAAAGTTGTACAAAAGAAGAAGACAAGACATAAACAGCTCCATCTTCTCAAAAGCATGGGGAGTACCTGTTTACTGGTTCCCTGAGAATACAAGTAATTTGAAAAGAGAGTATCAACATAAAGTTGAGTGAGTGCATAAGTATTTATGTTCTGAAAGAATGTCTTCTGTTTCTTGAATATGTAAACTGTTTCCAGAAAATCCTATATTTTCTGCTGTATATGAAAAGTAGTTTTAGTTGCATAAAACTGTTCTATTTGTAAACCAATGTTCTGTATTTGTAATCCTTTTGTAAACTTGTATCTATGAGTATGTCTGAATTCATTAACTGTTACTGTAAACTGTAATGTATTCCTGTAAACTGAATCTAGTAAACTAGTACTTTGAAATAGTACATAAGTTTAGTTAACTATACACTAACGTATTGTTAATATCTTTTAATAAGTTATTATAACCATACTGACTAGATGACCTGACCCAACGCTATTAGTGCGTTGAACACATGTTGATAACAATTTGTCACTCACAGGCGTGTATGCCTGACTGTAGCTAGCAGTCCGAGTGCGGGGTTGTCAATCCCAATATAGATCTATACACACATTGTTTCGATCCCCGGCTGGAGATTCTGGTTATAATGTCAGGATTTTACTATATTGTTTAAATGAATTAAACAATCTGTACTACTTGACTCATAAAAGCATATAAACGTTACATGTATAATACTTATGAAACTCAATCATTCTGAAATAAATGATTAATAGTATGTTCTTGAATTAGTACTCTTAACCTGTATCTGAAAGAATGTATACGCTTGGATAGTTTTGAATTAAACCTTTGTTTTGTAAAACAATGTACTCTAGTATGCTTGAATCATGAATTAATGTTCTGTGAATCATAAATTATACCTATTATAATTTATATGTACTTTTTGTATTGATACCTAGTATTCATGAATACAACCCCTTGCTCAACTTGTTACAAAGGGTAATTGAAACTAAATGAACAAACTTTTATACTTGTATACATACATATATATATATATATATATATATATATATATATATATATATAGTAAAATTTAAATGACACTCGGACAAATAACTGATACTTGTAATCCCACATCCAAACAAGGAAAAGGAACCAAAGTGGGTTATCAGTCCTAAATCTTTTAAATCTTATTTATATAAATATATGTATACTAGTATGATTTATGGGGAAAAATATAAGTTTATAAAATATTTAAAAGAAGTTTGATAATTTTGAAATTCATTTTGGTGACTTGATGGCATTTTGAAACATCATTGAAAACCATTTGATTTAATGATAACTGAAATCCATTTTGATAAGATATTTGAATTCACTTGTTAATAACACAAAAACTTTGTGTTAGACTTGTATTCCCCCCCCCCCCCCCCCCTTAAAACAGTAAAAACTATGAAAATGTGGGGGTATGAACTCACCTGTTGTAAGTTATTCAAATGTAAGGTTGGTGTAGGATGCTAAGTGTCAAGTGAAGTTTTGAACACAACGGATCCTATTAAGCATATATTGATACATATATGGATATAATTAGTGTATATAACAATTAATTATGATAGGAAACCACTTTAGGGACTAGAAAACACTTGAATTTAAGTGTTACAATCACATGTGATTGTTCTAAAGGGGTTTACGGCCACACAAGGTGTTCATGGCCATGGAGTTTACGGTCTAAGATGTTCTTCATAGGAGTTTACGGCCAAGGGAGATGCTCATGGCCGTAAACTCTCATTGTTCTTGGAATTGATTGATTTCAAGATTGTAAGTTATGAATTTCTATAGAATAACTAGTATTAGGATGTATACTTACGTTTTGAAGCTTGAATGAGGTGTTCATGGTCTAAAGAACTAGTATGTGTTCTTGGTGTTCTTGAAGATAAATTTGGTGAGAATTAGAAGTGTTCTTGATGGTACTTGAGAGAATTTGAGAGTTCTTGACCGGAGGATATGAGAAATGAAGAAAAAATGAAGGAAATCTATATATGTATGCGAGGGTTTACGGCCGAGGAGTTTGCGGTCCGAAGTCGGTTAGCAGTTTACGGCCGGAGCCTCGTTTACGGCCTGCGAGGAGTTTACGGTCTGAGGCAAGAATAAGATGCGAAGTTCTCGATTTTAAGCCTTTTCCTTCTAAATTCAACTATGGATATTATAAAGATTTTAGCAAATAAAGGTTATTATCATAACCTTAAATAAAAAATCCAAATAATAAAAAGAACTTTGGTTGACTTTAGTTTGACTTCGGTTGACTTGTGTTGACTTTACAAATAGGAAAATAACGGGATGTTACATTATCCCCCCGTTAGAGAGAATTTCGTCCCGAAATTAGAGTTTAATCAAATAAGTAATTACAAATAACTAAGTGAAAAGACGAGGATATTTTAATTTCATTTGATCCTCACGTTCCCAAGTGAATTCAGGTCCCCGCTTGGCATTCCAGCGAACCTTCACTATAGGAATACGACTTTGCTTTGTTTGTTTGACCTCTCGGTCCATGATTTCTACTGGTTCTTCCACGAAGTTGAGGCTCTCGTCGATCTCGATTTCGTCGAGTGGGATAACAAGAGTCTCGTCGGACAGACACTTTTTCAAGTTTGAGACGTGGAAAACAGGATGTATGTTACTTAGTTCTTGAGGTAGTCGGAGTTTGTAAGCTACGGGACCAATTCTAGCAAGAATCTCGAATGGTCCTATATACCTTGGATTCAACTTGTCACGCTTTCCAAAGCGTATCATGCCCTTCCAGGGTGAGACCTTCAACATGACGCGGTCACCAACCTGGAACTCCAAAGGTTTTCTTCTTTTGTCGGCGTAGCTTTTCTGTCTATCTCTGGAAGCTTTAAGTCGTTCCCGGATTTGTACGATTTTCTCTGTGGTTTCACGAATGATTTCCGGACCAGTGAGAGTACTGTCAGGAACTTGACTTCTAGCTAGCTGCGTATCACCCACTTCAGCCCAGCACAGAGGTGATCTGCACTTACGGCCATAGAGAGCTTCGAAAGGAGCAACCTTTATATTAGTGTGATAACTATTGTTGTAAGAGAATTCGACCGGGGGTAAATGAGTATCCCATGCCTTACCAAAGTCTATCACACAAGCTCGCAACATATCTTCTAAAGTTTGAATCGTCCTCTCACTTTGTCCGTCAGTTTGTGGATGGTAGGCTGTACTCATGTCCAACCTAGTTCCCAAAGATTTTTGTAAAGACTGCCAGAAACGAGAAGTGAATCTACTATCTCGGTCAGAAATAATAGATATTGGCACACCATGCAATCTAACGATTTCTTTGAGGTAAGTTCTTGTTAGCTTCTCCATTTTGTCGGTCTCTTTGATTGGCAAGAAGTGTGCGGATTTGGTTAATCTATCGACGATTACCCAAATAGTATCATAACCTCCCGATGTCTTGGGTAACTTGGTTATGAAATCCATTGTAATCCGCTCCCACTTCTATTCAGGTATTTCAGGTTGTTGCAATAAACCTGAAGGTTTCTGGTATTCTACCTTGACTTTGGCACAAGTAAGGCACTTGCCCACAAAGGTAGCAATTTCGGCCTTCATGTTTGGCCACCAGTATAGTTTCTTGAGGTCTAGGTACATCTTGTCTGAACCTGGATGAATGGAGTATCAAGTTTTGTGTGCTTCATTCATAACCACGTCTCGGTAACCACCGAACTTTGGTGTCCAGATCCGGTTCATGAAACAATAGACTCCATCATCCCTGACTCTGAAGTTTTTATCCATTCCTCTCAAAGTCTCGCCTGCCACATTTTCAGGTTTTAAGGCCTCGAGTTGAGCCTCTCTGATCTGTGTGGACAGATGTGAATGGATTGTCATGGTCAACGACTTTACTCGGCGTCCCGAGTATTCTTTTCTGCTAAGGGCGTCAGCTACTACGTTAGCTTTACCAGGGTGATAAAGAATCTCACAATCGTAGTCGTTCAGTAGCTCCACCCATCGTCGTTGTCTCATGTTCAGCTCTTTTCTGATTGAAGATGTGCTGGAGACTTTTATGGTCCGTGAATACTGTGCATTTCGTGCCACATAAGTAATGTCTCCAGATCTTCAGAGCGAATACCACTGCTCCTAGCTCAAGGTCATGTGTTGTATAGTTGACTTCATGTGTCTTTAGTTGTCTTGAGGCATAGGATATCACCTTTCCTCTTTGCATAAGAACACATCCAAGCCCTTGATTAGAAGCATCACAGTACACTACGAAATCCCCCGTCCCTTCAGGGAGAGATAGGATTGGTGCACTACACAAGGCTTGTTTCAGCGTTTGGAATGTTGTTTCTTGTTTTTCTCCCCAGCTAAAAGTTACCCCCTTTTGTGTCAGAGTGGTAAGAGGTTTAGCTATTCGAGAGAAATTCTGAATGAATCTGCGATAATAGCCAGCAAGACCTAAGAATTGACGAATTTCTGTAGGTGTTTTGGGTGCTGACCAGTTTTCAATAGCCTTAATTTTGGAAGGATCGACGTGTATTCCTTCAGAACTGACCACGTGACTTAGGAATTCAACCTTCCTAATCCAAAATTTACATTTTGAAAACTTCGCATAGAGTTTCTCTGTTCTAAGAGTTTGCAGAACTTGACGAAGATGTTGGCTATGATCCTCTTCACTTCTTGAG